CTTTATAAGTTTTTCGTCTGTGTATAGCCATATTTTATCAGTCTACTGATTTTTCATAAAAGCTGTAATTTTTATCCTTCTTATACTTTGATTCCAATTGCAGTCTGTCCCACCATGTCAAATCAGTATTTTGTTTTTGTAGTGTGTCTAATGATTTCAAATTATTTTTGCTATTTAGTAAGTCTTCATATCTCCACAGTGTATGTTTAGTATATACTGTCTGTTTTATAAATGCTTCCAAAGGCGAAACCCACTTATGGGTTTTCATGTAATAGCGTTGTTTTATTTCTTCCCATATTTTTATGCGTGACCCTCTAATCCAATATGCTTAAAGTTCCCCCTATCTTTACCATACCAAACGTATGCATGCCATCCCATTAACAAGTCATGCCCTTCTAATTTTAGGGTTCTTACGTTATCCAATATTATCCAATCTTTTGTCCAAACCAAATATGTTGCTTTGTAGTATAGGGCCCAATCTGTAAGCGCAAAACCACCTCTTTCCTTCCTATCTTGCATTGCCTTCAGCTTTATTCTAGCTCTTTTAGATTGCCAAATAAATTGGCTTATTACTTTATCTAAATCTTTAAAATATTGCTGGTTTCTCAGAATTGGGAGTGTTTGAAAGAGGAATATAAGACGTGGGAGAATATTCATTTTAACTGTTGCTATTCTGCTCATTAAAGATATTTGCATCCCCTTCCATTTCTCCAAATCCTTCTTGATTTCTGAGTTTCTTATAATTATCCTCAAATAATGATCTGTTAGATAATAGTGATTCCTAGGTATTTAACTTTCTTGCAAACCTCAATGCCCGAAATTTCATGTAGTTGTTGTGTTTGGTCTTTAGTGCAATTTTTAAAGAGGAATTTTGTCTTTTTAAAGTTGATTTTAAAGCCAGCTGCCTGCCCAAATTGTAATAAGGTAGCTAAAAGTTGTTTTGAGGAGGTCAAAGGTTCTTCTAAAATAAAAACCAGGTCGTCTGCAAAAGCTTGCAGTTTAAATTCTTCCCTTTCCCTTTAAGACCTTTAATTAATCTATCTTCTCTCACCATGTCATTGGAGATTTGATTGGCTGTGCAGATTTTTAAAAAATGTTGCTTTGGCAGCAACTGCCACCACAGCCCAAGAATCTTCACGGTGTGACTGAAGGTAAACTAGCACACCAGCAATTTGTGACTGGGGCACATTTTCTGTGTATGCAAGGAGGGTTTTCTCCTTTTTAATATGGGGAAGATTTAAACATGCAGTTTGTCTGTTGTGAGTCTACTCCTGGTGTTATAATGGTGTATGCAAAGAGGCCAGTGCACATGGTAAGTATATTTAAATGCTTGATCCACAGTCAGTAACCTGAATAAATCCAGCTTGATTCAGTGGCATGGATTCAATTGCATTACCAATATTTAGAGGCACTTAAGTTTTCTTAAGAATGGGTGGTGACTTCTGCTGATTTTTCCCTCCCTCCCACTACAGACCCCTATTATGCTGTTCCTTAGGGTCTGCTGATCCCCCCCATTCAAAATCTTAGGGGGTTCAGCATGATGCAGAGGGAGGGAGGAACTGGAAGAAGCCCCACTCCCTGTTAAGAAAACATAAGGACACAAGTTTTCTTACCTGTGTGGTTGGATATGGGCTTACATCCCTAAAGATCAACTCATTTTCCCTTGGCCATCTCTGCTTATGCTCTTAAAGGGTAGGATCACAGCTTTCTGGATCAGACCAAAAGTCCATGTGGACAGTTTCCATCAGAAGCCAGCCAGATGCCTCACAGGAAGGGCAGGGTCAGAATGGCCATCTTCTCATATAACCAAAATGATCCAATGAAGACTGGCGCAGGCTCAGAATGGCGTCCACTGCATTGTGTTGGATAGAGTATGTGAACTCGTAACTTATATGAAACTGCCTTACACCATGTCAGTCCATTGGTCCATCTGTTTGTTCTCACTGGCAGCAGCTCTCTAAGAGCTTTCCAAGCACACAAGGTGCTTTTAAACTGGAGATACCGGAGATTGAACCTGGGACCTGCTACCACTGACTGGTGGCACCTCTCTGAGTCATGGAGTTTGAGATACCATAGGCCAAGGGGAAAGGGCTGTAGGAAATTGGCCCAAAGGACATCGTGCAGCTTTAGGTCCCACCCTGGGGATGCACCCCTGGGTGAATACCTTTATTTACTCCCATAGAGGCATGCATGCCTCTGGGAAGAGAAGAAGTTCCACATTTGTGGACACAGATTCCCTGATCAAGGTGCACACTCATGCACTGCACCTCACCCCTTAAAGTCCTGCAAAGTACTTGGCTTTCCCCCACATGCAATCCAGCCTGTCATAGTACCGGGCATTTTGTTTTTATGTAACAACCAGCTCCCATTGTTTGCTTTGTCATGCTCAAGCAGAATCACACTAATAAAGTAAATTGAAATTGGGGAGAGGATTTCAGGAAAGAAGGGGGATTGAATTGGCTTTGAGAGGTGTGGGGCGGGGGAAAGACAAGGCATTGAAAACTTGCTCTGCTTTCTTTCTACAGCTTCTGCCCCAATCTGTCTGCAATCTCCACCAAGCTGAAGCTGGCCCACAATGTAGCAGTATCCTTTTATAAACTCGTTTACTGCGTGGTCTCGGCAGTGTAGGTTTGGAATGGGTGTGGGCAGGGTTCAGCATGATGCAGAGGGAGGGAGGAACTGGAAGAAGCCCCACTCCCTGTTAAGAAAACATAAGGACACAAGTTTTCTTACCTGTGTGGTTGGATATGGGCTTACATCCCTAAAGATCAACTCATTTTCCCTTGGCCATTTCTGCTTATGCGCTTAAAGGGTAGGATCACAGCTTTCTGGATCAGACCAAAAGTCCATGTGGACAGTTTCCATCAGAAGCCAGCCAGATGCCTCACAGGAAGGGCAGGGTCAGAATGGCCATCTTCTCATATAACCAAAATGACCCAACGAAGACTGGCGCAGGCTCAGAATGGTGTCCATTGCATTGTGTTGGATAGAGTATGTGAACTTGTAACTTATATGAAACTGCCTTACACCATGTCAGTCCATTGGTCCATCTGTTTGTTCTCACTGGCAGCAGCTCTCTAAGAGCTTTCCAAGCACACAAGGTGCTTTTAAACTGGAGATACCGGAGATTGAACCTGGGACCTGCTACCACTGACTGGTGGCACCTCTCTGAGTCATGGAGTTTGAGATACCATAGGCCAGGGGGAAAGGGCTGTAAGAAATTGGCCCAAAGGACATTGTGCAGCTTTAGGTCCCACCCTAGGGATGCACCCCTGGGTGTATACCTTTATTTACTCCCATAGAGGCATGCATGCCTCTGGGAAAAGAAGAAGTTCCACCTTTGTGGACACAGATTCCCTGATCAAGGTGCACACTCAGGCATTGCACCTCACCCCTTAAAGTCCTGCAAAGTACTTGGCTTTCCTCCACATGCAACCCAGCCTGTCATAGTACCGGGCATTTTGTTTTTATGTAACAACCAGCTCCCATTGTTTGCTTTGTCATGCTCAAGCAGGATCACACTAATAAAGTAAATTGAAATTGGGGAGAGGATTTCAGGAAAGAAGGGGGATTGAATTGGCTTTGAGAGGTGTGGGGCGGGGGAAAGACAAGGCATTGAAAACTTGCTCTGCTTTCTTTCTACAGCTTCTGCCCCAATCTGTCTGCAATCTCCACCAAGCTGAAGCTGGCCCACAATGTAGCAGTATCCTTTTATAAACTCGTTTACTGCTTGGTCCCGGCACTGTAGGTTTGGAATGGGTGTGGGGGTCCGTTAGTCTCTAGTGCCTTTTCCTGGAGGTGACCGAAATTTAAAAGTGCTGGGTGAAGTCTCGACGGTGCCTCCTTTGTTGAGGACCAGCAATCCTGTATGCAGGTGCGTTGGCATAGGGGTGGTGGCTTTGGGGCTGTGCTTGTAAATAAGAAGCCCACCTGGAAGCATAAGGCTGTGGTTGATGCCAGGTGGACCACCCTGAGTGGTGGGATAGTCAGCAGATGGCTGCTTGATGGCCATAGTTGGCGCACAGGAGCATATGGGAGGAGACAGTCCTTCAGCCTTTAACTTGAGGTGCTAGATGCCAAAATGAAAATCCACATATTAACGTACACCTGGCAGCTGATTTTCAAAAGCAGAGCTGTATTCTGAATGGAGCTCGCAATGTTCCCTCTAAGTTGTGGAGTCTTGTGAGCAAAAATGCTGCTTTGTGAGCTCCTGGCATTAAAGTTGTGAGCGAGCAATTTGGCTGCTGCATAAATTAGTTTGCTCTGGAGCCCTCCTTCCTGAGCGAAGGCAAAAATGTGTGAGCCGGAGGCTAAAAAACTGTGAGCTGGCTCACACTAACTCAGCTTAGAGGGAACACTGGCCACAGCTTTCACTCCAGCCATTCCTGCATGAGCTAATGGTCTGTCCCACTGTGAGCTACAGCAGAAGGGGGGAGACTCAGACAAATCTAAGTGGCTGTCATGAACACATGATTTATCACATCAATCTGCAGTACGTGTGTAGGCCTGTCCCTGCTTTGTATTGGGCCCAATTCATGTTCTCAAAGACATTCTCTTTTATGATGTGTTTCCAGTGTTCTGGGACTGAATGCTTGTTCTGAGGCTGGCCCCTAACTCATATAAAATTCTGGGACTTCTCATGATCTGCATCTAAAAACGGAATTTTAAAAACTCTGCGTTAAAAAAAGATACAGATCTGGTGCCAAGGAAAGCTAATCTCTGCAATCTAAATCAATCAATCATATACATGTGTTGAATAATTTATTTTGCTTTCGATAGCTATGGGCAGGAGAATGAAGCGGATGCATAATAGAGGCCTTTTCTCCCTGTCTTGCCCCCTTGCTGGATTCTGAGCTTCCCCCTCGCCTGCGTGTTTTCAAGACACATCTTTGGCCAAAAGGGAATATCAATGTATATGAAATGAAGGTTCTGGGTGGCTAAATTCTGCACCAGACCCTGGCTACACACTTGTGTGCTGTGATCTATGGATCGTAAAGATGTAGGTGTACGAGAGGACTTAGAGAAGGCACAATAGGGACACTTTTGCAGAGTGTTGTGAAGAGATTCTGAAAGGCAGGTGGTGGACGGTAGCACAAAAGAGGCTTCCTGTTCTCATATTCTGTAGCATGGATAGCTGCTCTCAATGGTTCAGGCTTCGCAATCATCTTAAGCCTGGTTGCATGTAAGTCTCCCCTGGTGGACCCCTGAGGGACAAGCTGTGGTGTGGTCTTCCTTAGCACTTCCCTCCATGGTGTCACCTTTCTTGCCTTTGGGAATGGCGCACCAGATGTCTTCAGCGCTGTGGTGGCATTCTCCGACCCACGGACAGCTGGCCTAGCCATTGGAGCCCTCTTTGGTATGGACAGCCAACCTGCTATGACTTCTGTTTGTTTGTCTTATCTGTGTTCTCTGCTCTGCCCTTCCTCCAAGGAGTTCAAGGCGGTGTACGTGGTTCATTTTATCCTCAGAACAACCCTGTGACCTAAGCGGAGGGAGATTGACAGGGCCAAGGCTCCTGCTGGAGTGGGGATTTGAATATGGCTGTTCTCGGTCCTGGCCCAGCACTCTTAACCACACTGGTTCTGTTAGCACCATCCCGCCTTCTGCTGCCTGCTTGGGTGGCAGTCTGTTCCATCAGCCTCTTCTAGGAAAATTGCTGGGTTGCTTTCTTCTTGTGTCAGGGAGACCTATCTGCACCATACCTCTTTCTCCCTGGTCTCCTGCATCCTCCAAGTAGCTGAGTCCCTCCTTTTCCTGTCAGTTTTCTTGTACGTGTCCAAGTTAAAGTTTAAGCCATGAGTTAGGACTTCTCTCTCAACCTTCATTTAAGGAAGAGGGAAACCTTGTGAGTTGACTCCCTTTATATGTTCTGCTTAGGTGTATACCTGATACATAATATGAGAATGTGACAATCATGTGTTGTCCAGGGTAAGTGTCGGGCAGTTTGGGTTGGCTGTGTCTCTCTGAGTGTGCATTCTGTAAAGTGCTATTTTACAAGACCCCTTACCTGTTAGCTTGCCCACCAGCAGAGACTTTCAGAACAGGTTCTTCTCTGTGTACCCTTACCCTGAGAGGTATGTTGGGTGGTTACCAAAGGCAGGACCTTTTCTGCAGTGGCACTTCCCCCCACAGCTTACTTACTGGGCATCTATTCTGTTTCAGGTCTCAAGTGAAAACTTTTCTGTAGACTTTTGATTTCTTTTAAGTGTTGTGTTGTCTGTGTGTATTCTTTTGTGTGTTTTGGGGTAGGCTTACTGTTGATATGCCATTGGTTATGAATCATTGTTTTAAGGAGATTTTAATACTTTTTAACTTTAACTTTAGAATTGGCTATTTTATTTTGAAAGACGATTTAGAAGCTACACAAAGTTCATGTGGGATATAAGAACCAACATGGCGGACAGACGAGGGCTTGAGAAACCCGAGTTCAAGTCTCCACTCAGCCATGATGCTCCTTGGGAGTTGTTGGGACAATCTCTTCTTCTCCCTCTCCCTCACAAGGTTGTTGGGGGACAGACATATATGCCGTCCTGAACCCCTTACATGAAGGGGGGGGGAGTAAGATAAAGAGAGATGGGTAATTTTTTTTACAAATTTGTATATATAATGAAGAAGGAAGAGAAGAGATTGGATTTATACCCCGCCCTTCACTACCTGAAGGAGTCTCAGAGCGGCTTACAAACTCCTTTCCCTTCCCCTCCCCACAACAGACACCCCCTGTGAGGTAGGCGGGGCTGAGAGAGCTCTGGCAGAAACTGCTCTTTTTTTTCAAGAACAGCTCTTATCAGAACTACGGCTTGCCCAAGGTCATCCAGCCGGGTGCGAGTGGAAGAGTGGGGGAATCAAACCCGGTTCTCCCAGATTAGAGTCTGTGCACTTAACCACTACACCAAACTGGCTCTGAACAAAACCTGGTCTTCCCATGCCATGTAATGAGTGAAGTGACTTTTTATGTAGGTCTGGTTCACACTTCTCCCCTGTCTATTGTACTGCCTGACTGCACACTTTTTACCACATTTCTTGCTGGTGGGATGGAGGGAAGGTGAGAGATGGTTGTTTTTGAGTTTAACTGTTTAATTTTTGAGTTTAACTGTTTAATTTTTGAGTTTAACTGTTTCTTCTCTCCCCTACCCCCCAGGTGCTGGGATCTTTGTCACCACCATAGTGGCTGGAGGTATAGCCATAGTGAGACCTTTCACCACAGCCTCCAGGCCATTTCTCAGGGATGCCATCTTCTATATGGTGGCTGTGTTTTTGACGTTCGTGGCTCTCTACTTTGAGAAGGTCACCCTGGCAGAAGCCCTGAGTAAGTAACCTAAGAAAAGCTCTGCTGGCTCCCATCTTGTCCAGCATTCTGCCAACAGCAGCCATTCAGAAGCCCCCTGGAAGTGCAAAAGCCAAACATAAAAGCCTTGGCTGATACTCAGAGATATACTGCTTCTGTACATGGAGGTTTCATTTAGCTGTTATGGGTAATAGTTGTTGCTAGACATATTCAGGAATCTTTTTAAACATAGATATGAGCCAAGGAACAAGAGGTTGTGGAAAAACTAGGACCACTTGGGACAGTACTTAACAGAATTACGTGTTATAACAGTTCCTGGATTGTGACACTTCAGGCAATTGGTGGAGGAACAGGATGTTTAAATATTCCCACATATTTAAACAAGAAACACCTCCTAGCGCATATAAAACCAGGATGTTGAGAAGGATCTCCCCCTCCACACCCTCTCACTCCCAGCAGGAAGGCAGCTTTAGATGCAGAAATCCATAAAGCACTGAACGAATTTGAATTAAAAAAGAAACCAGCTAACAGGATACATGTTTTTTTCCTATTAGCTTCTCCCCTTTAAATCTGGTGAAAGTGCATGAGTGGCTGACATTAGCTCATCCCTTTTTAGCATGGGCGCAGGAGATGAATATGAAACTGTTTGCCCTCTCTGCTTGAAAACGTCTGGGGACATGCGTCCCTACAAGCAAAGAAAGCAGAAAAAATTATTCAAAATAAGCAGTTTAAGAAGTTTCCTTGGAGACTGGAGTTTGCATGTGAGCTAGGGACAAAGAGAGGTGGTGGCTCTGATGGTGGGTGAAAAGGGAGGCATGTTCTGTAGTGAAATAATCTCTCTCTTCCTCACTCTGGCAGGTTACATTGGGCTCTACATCTTCTACGTCTTGACAGTAGTGGTCAGTACGTGGCTGCACAAAAGGCAGCGCAGGGAGAACCTGGCCTCTTCTGCTCCTACGGAACCAGGTGAGGATGCAAGCAGTATGCATCTCAGATATGTTCATCTGTTCATGCTCCCCTCAGATTCTTCCTAGTGAATGAAGTGGCTGGATTTGAAGAGGTAGAACAGCTGGACCAGTTCAGACTACACAGTACCCCCCCCCCCCCTCCCCCAGTATTAAAAGCTCCCTACAAATAGAAAACCCGCACAGCAAACCAAGAGAGGAAGTAGAGCCTTTCCTTCCTGTTAAGCTTGTTTTCTACTTGGATGGAGTTACTTTAAATTTAAATGTGAAGGATCACAGAAAGCTGGACTCCACCGTCTGCACCCCGAAGGGGAGCAGTCCACTCTTCTACCTCCTCCTCCTGCTTGTCTGTAACAGGGTTTTACTCTTTATCTTTCTGCAGAGCTTCCAAGAGACTCTGAAGATGGGGACTCCTCAAGCTTCAGTGGAGGAGACTACAGTAAGACCACAGTTCTTTGCAAATCCCCAAATGGCTTCTCCAAAGGAACTGTGCAAGAGCATCTCCAGTGCTTATTATTCAAGTTCAGAGGGGCTTTTGTACTGCTGACCTTTACAAAAGCGCAGGCATTTCGTAACACAGTAATTTAGCAGTCAAAAGTTAAAACCAAAAGACAGACAAATAGAATCACTGTTGCTAAGATAGAAACTAAATGGGATAAAATGACAACTTAATGCTGAACCTAAAAGATTAATGGCATAGTAAAACACAACGATCAATATGGCAATAGCTAAAGTACAAGTGAGAGAAATCTGGGAAGGGGAGGATTTGGAAATCTCACCCACTGTTCAGACTCTCCAAAGCATACTGGTGGGAAAAGCAGCAACATGCAGATTAAGTTACGGGTTGATTAAGAGGCAGGTGATACGTTTTCTAGTCCTGCAAATTTTTCCTTGCTGGTAGACTTCAGACTAGATTAGGCACCCCTTATCCTTTCTGCTTGCCTGGAGGATCCAGGAAGCTCAGGCGGATCTACGTTCTTCCTCTCAGGGGAAGAATACCAGCCCTTGCTGCCCTTGGAGGAGAGCACGCTCCAGATCCTGACGCATTCCATGAACCCCCTGGATTACAGGAAGTGGAGGAGGAAACCCTGCTACTGGCGTGTCCTCAAGGTCTTCAAGGTAATGACTTTTGCAGCCCTTGACCCCCTGCCCTGTACCAGTGTGCTGATCTGCCCTACAGATTGCTAAGCTGCTGGATCCTTGCATGTCCTATAAACCTACCATGATCTGGCTGGCAGAGCTACAATAATACTGAGCATTTATTTAGAAATCCCCCCCCCCCGTTATTTGGATTTAATTCTTTCAAACGTGAATCAGCTTTGGTCCGGTCATCCTCACCAAGCCTAACCTGCCTCACAGGATGGTTATAAGAATATAGTGGAGAAGGGGGGAGAACCACAGTTGCCACCTGAGCTCCTTGGAGGAAGGGCAGGATAAGAAATGCATCAAGGTCGCTTACTAAATTCTTTGTGTAGGCGAAATCTGAAAAACAGGGTTGCTTACCTGTAACTGATGATCTTCGAGTGGTCATCTGTGCATTCACACCTGTGGGATATAGTGTGCCTGCACCAACCTCGATTGGTTCCTCTTGAAAGCGAAAGGGATTTTTGCGCCCGCTCCCCAGTTACGCACCAGCCCCACTGCGCATGACCAAGGGAGGGGCACGACAATCCCGCCAGTTCCTTCTGACTGCTGCCATCAGTCTCAGAGTAGTAAAAAGGAAAGGACTGAAAGCAGAGGGGAAGGAGAGCGGGTGGTGGGAATGCACAGATGACCACTTGAAGATCATCCGTTACAGGTAAGCAACCTGTTTATCTTCTTCGAAGCGGAGAAGATCCTACCAGCGCAGCCGTCAGAAGAGAACTGGTGGGGTTGTCGTGCCCCTCCCTTGGTCATGCGCAGTGGGGCCGGCGTGTGATTGGGGAGTGGGCGCAAAAATCCCTTTCGCTTTCAAGAGGAACC